TTGCGCGTTGATATTATTTCACGGTTTTAACGCAGGTTATGGGACTCTTATACCACTGATGTTTTTAGTTTTCCAGTTCAACTCAAAACAAAGTCAAGTGTAGATTGATGGTCAACAGAATGAAAGAAACGAACAGGTAATTATAATATCGACTTACATAAAGTATATGTTGTCACGTTTATTTCAACACGTTCCTCTGTATGAAGGGACGCTTTTAAGAGGGTCTTATCCCCATAACTGCTTTAAATATTCTGTCGCAATTTGCATTTGTGGACTTTTTATACGACAGTACATATTGTTCTTTGGCGTTCTTTCAAAAGGAGAGTCTGAAAATGAATGTATGCAGAAACCTTTTCGAATAGCGGAGAACATTGTCGTGGGCTATTGTCATGTGCCCCTGACTTTTCTTTAAGGAGGCACATCTTAATCATCTCATAGAACTGTGTCTACGGGCCGGCGTTCTCAGAAAAAAGTGCATTTCGAGAAACTGCTCAAGTATAGAACGTCATGTCGACCAAGCTATGGGCTATCTAATTCATGCAAACAGTTCCAAAGGTACGGTTTCCTCCAACCCTCTCCCTTCTACCATGGCGGGTGTGAGTTTGCTCGTACGTCCGAGAGTTAACATTGAATCATGCCACAATTACCTGTCGAAAAGCCCGGAAGCCTAGGACATATATATATAAAAAGGCAACGACATTCAGAAACGGCAGCTGATAGAATAGTTTACTTGAAACATTTAGTTTGTAACTGACATCGTTTTATTTAATACAGTGGAAGCCCTCGTAAGCAGGCACCATCGCGACGGGAAAAAGCTGTCCGTAACTGGAGCTGGCCGCTTACGAGAATAGTTCTCGTAAACGGCCACTAGAGTAGTAATGGAAAGATGGCCTACGGAAGCTTGCCCAGCTTACAACAAACATTAGGAATGCAAAAATGCCACCAAATTATTAGTATTGTTTTTGCTTTATTGCCTTGTACAATGCCGCGATAATAGCGATAACTGTATACTGTTCTGTATACTGCAGCACTAGGACTGGGCGTTAGCGATTAAAGAACAACCATAATCATGAATTGTAGCAAGCATTACAACAACAACAACTAACTTTATTTGCGTGACCATAAATACATACAGTGTTGCAAAAGCTTTTGTAAACTAAAGCTAAAATTATGATTGTCACGAACATACAACAAAGTTAAGATATAGCATTACCATTAGCGTTAACAGTCTCACTGTAACACAAAGCAGTTACAGATTTACAAATGTTAATGAGCATCTATCAAAGTCAGGCTCAATTCCCGTCAAGTGTCCACCTAAACAAAGGCAAAGTCTTGATCGTAAGCCCTCGTAGTGTCCGGTACCGCTTACGAGAATGTCCGCTCACGGGATTGCGTAAATACAGAGTTTGTGTGGAAGTATAAACTGGGCTTTGTGAAGGCGGTCGTTAGTAGAGCTGTCCGCCTACAAGAGTGTCCGTTAAGAGAGCTTCCACTGCATTTCTTTTTTGTTCATTTAGAGTTGGCTGGCTGTCTTACGAAGAACTATTTCGAGAGTCTTCTAATGAACACCAGGCAAGTTTTAACAATCTCACTCATATAGATATCTTATGGCTTCAGATTAAATGTTTATAACCCTTGAAAAGCACAATTTCCTGTGACATTCCTGTCGCACAACTGGGAGGTTTGAGCCCAATCATGGTGTGTAGGTTGATTTAGGACCTCCTTTCAATGTAAAGTCTGTGTCGGGGCAAAGTGTCTCATCTTGCCGGGGCTTATTCCAAAGAAAACCTTTGTTTTAGCTTGCCTGAGGATCTGTTTGTAGCGTCAACAAGCACGATAAGTAAGTAGGTAAATCACATACAAAATTCCACCTATTAGTAGAAATACATGAGGTGCTCATCTTACAATATTAGTTAGCTTCTAGATATGAGAGAGCTAAGAGGTAGACCGCACGTCTTGTGGAAGAACTTCCAAATGTTGGAACCACCTCGCTCTAAAGTTACGCACCTCTCAATCTGTAGGGATAGGCATTTTACTCCTTTCTTAGATTATTATTATTTTTGGATTGAATATTAGAGGTGATAAGCACTTACCATTATTCAGAGGGCCACGGGTGCTTTATTTTTGCAAATTATTATGTGCTACCTACTTTAAGTAAAGTTGATTGATTGATTGATTGATTTTATTTTCCCTTCGGAACACCGCCTCACAAGAAATCATGCCAATGCTATTGTCCTATTCTTGTATTCCTTAGTCGGTCGAGTCGTTAAGTTCTACGCCTATTACTATAGTCTTCACCAGTGGAACAACAGGGAAATCAAAAATGGTCGAGAAGACACAAGGAAGCTGGGGCTTTCGACACCGTGCAGGCATGGAAAAGTATGTCTTACGGTTGATTAGTTGAAGAAACTATTTCTCACAAACAATTAGTCTCATCCTTTGTTAATGCGGGGGCTACAGTTGAAGCTAGAGAATAGCTGATGAGCAAAATGAACCAATGTTAATTATAAATTTGTACCACGTTTTTCGTTTTTCAAAATTGATCTCTGCTCCCTGACATAGGAGCAGAGCAACATTGAAGTTCAACCGGGTAATTAAGTCACTAGCCGGCTAATAACCCATATTGTCACCACACTTTCAATATGTTTATTTAATATTTAAAACAGACAAAACTGTTAATCAGGAAGGGTTGCTACTTCTTTCACAGAAAAAAAAACACTGAAGCCTCTATGTATTCAAATCAAAGTGCTCTATGAGCAAACCCGTCCATATCCCAGTGGATGATGATTGACATGTGTGGCTTACGGGTTATTCTAGTTATACGAATTACCATATTGACTTCTGGCTATATTGCATAATCTGTATCACAACTTACGCAACTGAATATTATATTGAACTTCAACTTACGGGTTAAAAATGAAACACACACACTTCCGTAAACAAAAAGTGTTAACTAAGCAATTTGATTGAACAATCACATTCATAACTAGAAGTGTAACTTTGGCTGGACAACACAACCAGCCGAAGGTGACATTGTTACTGGCTCTGCTATAAAGAGATTTGATTCACAAATGTAGCATACTAATATCTTTGGTATTTAAATTATTTTACGTCCTCACTCAAGGGTCCAATGACCTGCAAACCAAGGAATGGGGAGCACCGAATTGGTTCCGTGGGTCCAGCATGCCATGGCGTGGATGTGGTAGTAAGTTGTGCATTCACTTCATCTTTACATGGAGTCAATTTGCTAGCATAACTTTCTAGGTCTTGATAAATTTGTTTAGATAAAGGAGTCTTGCGATTCATAAAAAGCATGGAAGCCATTCTTACCCGTCTTTGTCTAGGAAACCGCGAGGAATGCAACATACGGTCAACGTTTGTATTGACGTGAGAAGACACGTTGGATGATGGAAGTTTGGGCATTGTTTAGTCCAGTTATAAACCCTTTCAATTTCTTCAAAACGCAACACGGACATGGTGTGCCGTTTGTTCAACTTGAAAACTACTTAGGGCCCAGTTGTTTGAAAGGTGGATAACGCTATCCACCCCCCAGGGGGGGGGGTACTCCCTTATATGGGCTATATTGCCGGTTTTCACATGACGTCACTAAAATTCAAACTACAAAACTATTGATCCTCCTGACATTTTACTTCCATGACGTATAAGAGCAGCTGAAAACTAATATTCATACAAATGTTTGNATGTTTATTTAATATTTAAAACAGACAAAACTGTTAATCAGGAAGGGTTGCTACTTCTTTCACAGAAAAAGAAACACTTTGAAGCCTCCATGTATTCAAATCAAAGTGCTCTATGAGCAAACCTGTCCATATCCCAGTGGATGATGATTGACATGTGTGGCTTACGGGTTATTCTAGTTATACGAGTTACCATGTTGACTTCTGGCTATATTGCATAACCTGCACCACAACTTACGCAATCTCCGGGTTAAAAATGAAACACACACACTTCCGTAAACAAGAAGTGTTAACTAAGCAATTTGATTGAACAATCACATTCATAACTAGAAATATAACTTGGCTGGACAACACAACCAGCCGAAGGTGATATTGTTACTGGCTCTGCTATAAAGAGATTTGATTCACAAATGTAGTATACTAATATCTTTGGTATTTAAATTATTTTACGTCCTCACTCAAGGGTCCAATGACCTGCACACCAAGGAATGGGGAGCACCGAATTGGTTCCGTGGGTCCAGCATGCCATGGCGTGGATGTGGTAGTAAGTTGTGCAGTCACTTCATCTTTACATTGAGTCAATTTGAGTCTTGCGACTCAAATGTCATGCAAGTCCTTCTTACCCGTCTCTGTCTAGGAAACTGCGAGGAATGCAACACGCAGATAACGAATGCATCTACGTGAGAAGGCGCGTTTGTCGATGGAACGTTGGGCATCGTTTACCGAGTCCAGTTATAAACCTTTCCACTATCTTTAAAATACAACACGGCCATGACATGCCGTTTGTTCAACTGAAAATTAATTTATCCAGGTCAATTGTGTTTATTACTTCTTCTCCATTTCACAGTTATTGAGTATTACTCAAACATTAGTCAGAAATTGTTTTACATTTTCCCAGTCTAACACCAGTTATTGGTATCTCAGACTTCACAGCATTAATTCCACCGCTTGCAGTATGTAAATTACTCAGTCAGTTGTGTATTACTCCGCCAGTGGTTTTTTTACCTGCCTGCCGGGAGGTGCTTAAAAGAAAAAAAAATGCGAACATCTTGAGTACAGTCTGTGACGTATTTGCACTCGCTAAAAATGTTTTGGCACCACGTAGATTATAGGCAAAATC